CCTCCCCCCACCCACCGCCCGCCGCCCCACTCACCATCCCACCGCCCCCCACACCAAACGAACAGCGGCGCCAGCACCACCTAGTGGCGAAAGTTGGAACTACAGCCAGAGTACACTTACAACTACTAGGGTCGTTAATTTTGTGAGGTAATATACAAGAGGGGTTGACGCTTGTGACGGTCTTGTGACGGAGAGGTGCGGGAGGGGGTCTAAAAGCTTCGAAAAATGCGTGACATAATATTTGAATGCTCCCTGAAGAGCACACACTATTTTCGGCGGTTATTAAGTCTTTGCGTAAAGCATGTGACAGAACCCAGAATGCCTCACTGAAACTCGCAGCACCCATAGGGAAGAAAATTTTGGAGGAGCATGAACAATTCGAGATAGGATGAATAATTTTATTTTTGAGGCTTTCACGGCCGTGATTATTGATATCATTGACTTCCGAGTGGATGCCGCGTTCAGTTTCAGCGTTGCGCCGGAATTTTACAAACATTGCAGTCTGCATCTTCACGACTAAGAGCTTCGATTCTGAGCTCAGATGCGTGGGGGTAGTCCTCATATGCCTTCGCCTGCGATGGTGGGGGGTCAGCCAATCACTTTCACGAGATCAGCTGGTCAATTGGAAAACCACGAGGGCGGTTTTCCAAATAGGGTTTTTTACTTCATATCATCTGTAACCATTGAAGTTGTTGGGATTTTTATAAATCTCGAGGCTCCTGTCGAAATATCCTTGAGATTTGGTCAACATTCTTGCTTGATCATGCTGGATAGTATGATCAAGTCCATCCAGTGTTCAGCCAGAGCAGACTATTCTATACGACCGTATTTGGGACACCGCTGGTGTTCCTTGATCCATGTGTTGATCTTTCTCCCGGTTTCTCCAATGTATACTTTTCCGCATGAGCAGTGAATCTCGCCACTCGTGGTGAACTTAGGGGTGGTCTTGGATGTTTCACACTTGTTAACATCTGACCGATCTTCTTTGGAGATTGGAAAATCGTTCAGATATCGTGTTTGCCGAGTATTTAACTTATGTGGTCTGCTGTGTCTCTCAAACAGGGAAGGAGGACCAGTTTCGGTCGGTCCTGGTTTTCCTCAGAATTAGTCTCTTCATGTGATGTGAGCTTGCTTTGCAGCTTTTGCTCAATCTATCGAATTTGTTGGACGCTATATTCATTTTTAGTCAGATCTGTCTCAAGATGTTCAACTTCATTGTTGATTTTGGACGATTGAGAGATAATGAGTGCTCTGTACATTAGGGAGCTAATAACGTAGTTTTTCTGGGAGGGGTGGTAATGAGAGGTAGCACTGAGATATCTAACTATATGAGGTGGCTTGCAATAGAACGCGTGGCCTAGAGTGCCATCCTCATTGCGTCGAAGTAGGACATCTAGAAATGGGAGACATTCGTCTTTCTCAATTTCCATGGTGAACTTGATGCTCGTATTTTCAGAATTCCAGAACTCCAAGAATTGGTTTAGACCAGTCTTCTCGTATGGCCAGATAACAAAGGGATAACAAAGGGATTCCCCATACGTCAACTATATAATAGGTCCCAGACGTCCTGACTCCACTACTTCGTTCGTCAAGTATTCCATGAATATATTTGCAGTAATCGGGGAGATGGAAGAACCCAATCCTGCATGTGATTTTTGCTCAAAGTACTCAGCTTCTAACTAGGATTATGTAGAAGTTAAGCAGTGCTCGATCAAGGGCAGTAATTGGAGAGAAATGACTTCGTAATTATACGAGTAGGAAATTTCCTGCGTTTGTGACCTCAACGTGTATACTAAACTCTGAGTATCCTCCTCGGATAATTGAGGGAAAAACTACTGATTTCCTGAAGAGGGCTAGTCTCTCGGCCGATCTGAAAAATTTTTTCACTCTTAAAAAATCCTTTCCCCTCAGCCTCTAGGACTCCCCAAAATCCATACAGAGTCTGTTCCTCTCCGTCCCATTGTCAGCAATATTGGAGCGCTAACTTACCAACTGGCCAAATTTCTTACGAAAGCACTCGAAAAGTTGACTAGCTTGAATGGTTTATACATCCAGATCACAATGGATTTCGTCAACAAGCTGAGAAATCTCAGGAATTTTCCAAACGATATCCTAGTGTGTTTTTGTGTGAAATCACTCTCCACCAATGTCCCAATCCCCGAAACCATGGAAATCATCAAGAAATCCAAGGACTTTTCTTCCCAATTCTTGCCCCTGATTGAGTCTTGCCTGACTTCTACATACTTTTAGTTCGTCGGAGAGTACTATGAGTAAAAATCAAAAGCAGCAGTGGGTTCTCCCATCTCTCCGATTATGACGGCTATTACCCGTTGAGTACGAAGTATTGAAGTCAACATCTGAAACCTACGGTATGGTTCAGGTATGTCGATGATCCTAATGGGCAAATAAGTGAAAACTAGTGGATATGTGGATATGAAAACTAGTGGATCCGCAATGATGGATCCCTCCAAAAATCATTATTATCGATTGATGCAAATATTTTCAATTTGCCAATCAACTGAAATTTTAGTTAAAAATCATTTTTAGTGATTGAAAATCTTTCATCACTGTGCTAAGCATTGAACTTTCCTTTTTGTTTTTTATTTGATTGATTCCAAAAATCAATGAGAAGTTGTAATAATCGCAGAATATCAACTATGACGATGGCTCGGAATTGGGAATCATTCCGGACCATTGTCACACGCTATTTGCACTATTTCACATATTCAACTCAATGCCGCCGGACATGACAACGAGACAAAGAATCCACCGAGTATCATAGTCGGGAATCATCCTAGCTCTTAATAAATATATGGATTAAATTCTAACGCATTTCGTTCAGTATTATTTGTTTTTTGTGTATTATTGATAATAAATCTACCATGAACACTATTGAAATATTTCAGTCCCAATCACGCAAACGATAAAAAGGAAAAAATATTTATTAAAAGAACGAACCGACATTTACCATGGTCTACTTGGATACTCTTCACAGAATTTTTAGACATGCAGTGGAGTGAATTTTCTGGTCGTTTCACATGTTCCGTTCCGGCGTAATGTACTTTTTGTAGTTGCACAAGCAAACTTATATTTATTTGGATGTGCTCTGCATCGATACAGTTGATGTGAACGGTGACAGGTTTATTTTCCCTGCCGAGTGGACTCGTTTTTTCCTTTGGTCGCAGAACTAAAGGACAAAAATTGAAAGAGGAGTGAGTGACAGTCAAAGCGTGTAGATAAGTAGTCATTTTTCGTTCGTTCAACACGTAATTTCCACCCTCCCCCCGCCTTGGAAGCTATCAGTTTTATTGCTGGTGAGCTCTCGAGGGGAATTTTCATTCATATCCCCCATCAGCCATCATATAGCTTTCAGTGGAAATGAAACGGAGAATAAAATCTGTTATAAAATATCCTTCAATTCTAATAAGGGTTGTGACGAGGTGAAAACCGCCCCCCCCCCCATTATACAAAAAGCCCCCTAAATACGCCTTATATTATTTCGCCACCGTTGGATTCCCACATGTACATTTGCTCCTTCCCCTGCCTAACCCCCCTCACCCTAGACCTTGGACAGCAGACGGAGAAACCAACCGGGGAAAAACCGAAGAAACGACCCATCACCGGACCAAAAGAATTGTGGCGCGCACCCACTCCAGGAAATATTTTAAGCAAGGAAAAGGATGGAGTATAAATGGCCCAACCACTTGTAGCCACGCGCTAGCCCTGGGACCTCCTTCACCGCACCCCGCAAGCCCTAGAAGTATCCCCGAGAGAGGACGAAGAAGGAACACGGAAGCGGACGAAGCCCAAAAACTGACCAGCACGCGCCACTCGTGCCCCAGCAGTCCCACAGTTCGCCACGTGCAAATTATTAGTGAGAGAAAAAAAACCGTGAAATCATTGGAGATTAAGAGCCCAGGAATACATCGTTACCCGAAATCATTGTGCATCCCACGAGTCCTGCCAAAGTGTTGGACATCCTTGTGGAAGGAGGCCCACAGTCCTGGTGATTGTTTCACCCCTGTCTAGCCGAACCCGTTGAAGAGAGATTCATCCCGTCGCCACGTGCTGTAAGTCGCCGTCCATTTTTCCCCTTTCTCAATTCTCCTACAGATCAAGATTCACCCGTGTATAATAATTCCTCCCCCCAACGGTGAGCCAACACTTTTCTTTTGTCCCTTTGTTCCCGTAGAATCTTGCACGGTAATCTAATAAGTCGAGTCAGCCCCTAGACACACGCCATTCCCCACTCTCCCTTTTTTATCTGTGTTTCAGAGTGCGAGTAGAGTCTTCCCCGAAAGATTGTCAACTTTACGATTAGCCTTACCCACTCCCTAGATAAAGATTAAAAGGCTGGTAAATCTTGTGATAATTTAGTGTATTCAAATTGGTTCTTAAATATACTCAATTTATTGTTCTCAGAATTTCCCCCGGTAATTAGATTATTTTCAAGCCCTCTCATCTTCCCTAATTAATCCCATAATTAAATAAAGAAAATAATCCGGTTACAAATGGCGCCCAACATGGGGCTAATCGTATAAATATTGAACGATCTACTCGCGTTATTAGATTTATTATTTCCAGAATAACAACCGACTAATTCTCGAAATTCCTTAGCTATCGCGTGCCAGTGTTTTGATTCTCCAAACCCCCCTTCCGTCGCCCGCTGAAACATTCCATCACAGTGTTGGTTCACCGTTGTGGATTCATTTCATTTCGGGATATCACTCAACGCAAATATTCCACACCTTAGCGCGTGAAAACCCCCCCGTCCCTCAAAATTTTATTTCGCTGCTACGTACTATCGTGTTCTCGGTCTCCTCTTTGTGCGGCATTCGTATTCTCCACTCGAGTGCAAACCCCCTTCCATCAGTATCCCTCTAATACCACGAGCAATCCGTCCAGCAGCAATTCCCCTATTATCGGTCTCCTCCTTGTGCGGCTGTCCGCCTCCTTTGCCCGTGTGCAGGCCCCCATCCAGTGCTGCCCCTCAGTCTTACGTGACAATCTCTCCCGGGGCAATCCCCCCTATTCCCGGTCTCCCTTTTGTGCGGAAATTCGCACAGATAGCCAGCGGGCTCGCTGTTCTACGTGCAGCATATCCGCCATCCCCCTCGTGCTCTTTCCCCTATTCTCCCATATTATTTCCCCTTTTTCGCTGTACCAAATTAAATACTATTTCCTCCATCCATTTAATGATTTCTTTCAGTGAGAGTCAGTTAGATTACAATATTAGTGCTCACCAGCACCAATTTGTTTTTTTTTCCTTTTCTCCTTTTCCATTGACATTTCGTTTTACTAATTAATTAATTTTTTTCTTATTATACCATTTAACTTAAATCGGCCTGACTTTCCGGAATCCCCCCCCAGATATTCAAATTCAAGCGGATCCGTAAATTCGATTTCGAGTTAATTTGTCCCAAACTTCCCCGTTATCGACCTCGTAAGTTGGGCTACCCAGTGTTATTCAATTTCTCCCAGATTTCTTTTTTTTCCTTCTTTTCCTTCCTTCTTCTTCGGGTTGTATTAGCCGCATACCCGTTCCATTATGAAAGTGACAACCACCACCGACACAACCATCACGACTACCGCATCCTCTACCATCGGCACAACCCCCACAACTATTGCACCCCTTACCGCCGACATCGGTCAGCCCCCGAATACGCCTCAAAACCCCTCGCACCCAAACCCCCCTCACTCGTCCCCACCCAACGGTACAGAAACGGTCCACGTAACAACCCACACAACAACCACCCACACTAACACCACTGCGTCCATCATCCAACCCTCCATGTCCCTAGGATCCGGTGCACCGATCGGGAGTACCAACGGGTCAGACATCCCCATTGAGCAAATGAGGCAGCTGACAATTATCGACCGTCATCACCGTGAATTAGAGAATCATTTTGACAGCTTGTACCCCCGCGATCAGATCATCCTGCTCGAGGCTTTGGGAATCAACTCGAAAGGTCCCTCCCAAGTCTTGAGAAATAGGTTCGTCAGACACGAAATTCGACGAAAGTTCGGACCCCAAACGGCCCGATGGGACGACACAGTAGACACAATGACCCACCCCGTGACCAACATTGGGTTCATCATAGCCCCAGAATTCGAGAACTCATTCCGGGCCCTAGCTAACCCTCCCTTGCATACTGGTCAGACCCTGGGAGCGTATCAGGACCCTATCAGCTCACAGTCAATTTCTCCACCACACCACTTATCCTAGCCAGTCCATTAACCACCGGACCCTCCAACCTCACCGTGTCACCTTCCAGGACCCAGTAGCAAATGCTTCGAGCTCTAGCCCCTTAGACCAAGATCTTCACACCTCCCAGACAACGAACCCCCGAACACACGGACTGCAACCACCCCCTGCACCGAACCCCTCAGAACCGGGCACTGCACCATCGGATCCACTGTATCCCACTCAAAATCACCCCTCGATGAACCAACCTCAACAGACCCCTCAAGCCCCATCCACACACCCCAACGCCCACTCCACTTATGATGTGGATTTGCCCATGTTCATCTTACCGAACCATAGACAGACCCAACCATCCCAAGGTTAACTCCCTCTGTACGCCAGAACACCCGTCATCCCGAACTCCCACAGACCACTCCAAAGGAACCCTTGTCCGTCACTTCCACCTCAATCATCCCAGACTACACCTCATCCACATGCAAACCAATACAACCCCACCCAACCACCCCTGCATAACGTACTCAATGAAGAAAATCCCCACTCCCGTAACCGTGCCAGAACAGTCCTGATCCCTCCATCGATGCCACCCCTGAACTCCGTGTCAAATCCCCCGACTCAAGCGCATCCCTCGTACTGTACCCCCACCCAGGCACACTACAGGACCACCTCGTTTAGAGACCAGACGTCAGGTGATCCCTCCAGTCGTGAGCTTAAGATCAGTCATCTTTTTAAACGGGATGGATTAGTTTTCTCCGGAGCAAGGCATGAAGACTCACAATTTCCTAGATCGTATCGAGGATTGTTGCGCCGCTAACAATTTGACGGAAGAAGAAACTCTCCGTGCCCTCTCCTCAGCATTTAAGGGTAATGCCTACACCTGGTACCGTACCGAACACCCCCATTGGCTGTCGTACGACGACTTTGTGATCGCGTCCAGAGCTTTTTTCTGCCCCCTAGGTCGAGAGGAAAGTTTATGGCAGGATGTCCTCCGACGAATCCAAGGCCCCGAAGAAAGCGTAAGAGATTACATTGTTTGTATGCATGGACTTTTCTCAAATCTCCACCCCCCACCCCCGTTAGAAAGACAGTTAAACGTAGTTCATGTACAGCTTCATCCTCGGTACGTGGACAAGATCGGACGTGGATGGTTCGAAACGTACTCCCAACTTCTCGCTCTTGCCCATGAATCGGAACTGGCCGAGATTAATGTCGCTCGGTACCGTCTTCCCCCCCCGGCCGAAGAGAGCAATGCTCCGGCCTATGCCTACTCCTATCCAGCTGTTCGAACTAGACGAGCGGGTCATTTCAACCATGCCCTAGGAGCTGAACCCCAGAGCAACCGATGTACCCCTAGATCAATTTGCCCTAAACTCGTACGCACCCCCACCAGCCCCCAGCAGAGCACTTCACTCTTCATCCCCGCCCAAAGACACGACCAGATATACGTTCGCTGCGATTACCCAGGGACAGAGAGTTACAGACAACAAACGACCCTCGACTCCCCCACCATTGATGAGTCTCCCCATCCCTCGACCCTCAACCCAGTTCCAGCAACCCACCAAACCAACCCCACCCACCTGTTTCAAGTGTAATTCACCAGATCACTGGGTAAGGGAATGCCCCCACTGGCACAGGACGAATAGACCAACCCTACCCAACACTGGACCCTACAGTCCCATGCAACAGAGACTCTTCCAATATGCTGAATACAGCCCCCACCAAAATTCCTTCCAGCAAACACACCCATCGTATTACGAACAGGGAAACTAGACCGCAGGGGGGTAACACAACCCACCCCCCCGCTCAACAGAGCACCCCTATAACCCCGAACTTCCCGTGTGAGACCCGCACTGACAAAACGGGGCCGACCCCCTCCGAGAAACCAACAAAAGAAGCTTCCACAGACGGAAAGGACCCCGACCCAAACCAACCCCACCGAAGCTCCTACACCACCACCTGCCCCCTCATCCACCAGAACTACACCC